TTCTTGACTATTGCATTTTCTAAATTATTTAGGAACTACAACAGGAGGATGCTAAAAAGTCTTCATTGGAATATTAATAATAACAACTATACTGTGGTAATTTGATAATAACTGGTATCAGTTAAGAATAAGTCAATGACTTAAATAAAGACCTGTTTATATTTAAAATTGATAGCATCATATGACATTCATTCAGTAAACTACATTCTTAAATGATAAGTATTTAGAGTAGGAGATATGAGTAGAATCTATTTTTTTTCGTTCTTCTGTATAAATGTTACTAGAAACAGTTATCACAGATACTCTGATTAAAAACTACAAGTAACATCTAATGCATTTATTTTTAATACTTGTTTCACAATCACAAAGAATCTCTGAAATTATCTTCCTCTTATATATTATTTTTTAAATTGTTATTTTTGTATTAATTATATAAGGTGTTATGACATTTCCATACATGCATATAATGTACATCGCCCATAGCCAGTTCTTTAGCATGCACTGAAGTTGAACCCTTAGATGTGTTTAATAGAGCCCAGTATATTTAAACGAAGTTGAGTATGTGATCTACAGTAGATAAACAATACCCTTTCATCAATAGAAATAATGGTTAAAAAATTTAACTGGTTTTTCTTCTTACCCAATGAAACAAGGATTTAAACTCACTTTATTGAAAATGAAGACTTTTTTTTGGCTCTTGATTACTTCATTCACTAACCAAATTAATCAGGACTAATTGCATGAGGCAGGTGCTTAGTCCTATTTAGAATTTTATAGAAGATAATAGAGAATTGTGGTAAATGTTTCCTATTAATCAAATGGGTTTCAGGGATTTAACATAATAAATTACTAAATTAAAGAACATATATTCAATCATATATATAACACGTTTATACTGTGGGTGAACAATAAACACTAGGACAGCCACATTAACTTAAAACTTTCTCTGTAGAGTTAGAATGAACAGTATCTGAGAATCAGAAGGCACTAAGGTGCGAGAATAGAGAACACTGTACCAGGGGACAGTAAGAGCTAAAGAGTCAAAAGATGCAAATAAGGAACCTGAAATAGCATGGTAGAAGGCCTGAGCAGAGTACCACCAGAAAAAATGTTTATGGTATAAATTCAGCTAGATGCCAGAGGCATGATAATGATGGGAGAAATTGACCTGACATTTTGGTTTAAGATATTGTTTCAATGGCATGTTGAAAAATAGTAACGATGCAGCCATTTCTATTCAAGCAGGAAATAACGACTTCCTAATTTCTCACTTTGTATGTGTGCATAAAACAAATGATGCTAACAATTGCCTTTCAATATACATAGATCTTGCCTAGAGTCAGATAATTTTCCAGCATTCTCATCTTTTCAAAGGATGTGAAACTTCAATTAATGAATCTATGTTACTGATTATAATAAAAATGCTATCTATATGCAACTGATTGCCAGATCTTCGAACAAGTCAAAGGACAAGTTAATTCACACAAACTTTTCAATTGCAAGTATCTATGGTAAAGATAAATGTACATTTTAAGATGAGTCATTAAGCTGTTTTCTAAAACATCTAATATATTTTATAGTTAAATAATCAAGAGACAATTATGTGAAGACTTAAAGAAAGATGGCAACTAGCTAATCATGATAATAAATAATGTTTATGAAAATTATGTTTTATATGGTAATTTAGATGAAATAATATTAAGTATAAATTGTGGATATTGCAAAACAAGAAGCCTGAATTTTAGTCATTATCTGTAATATAAAACAACTGAGGTCATTTAGCCTTTGACAGCTGGGAGTCAAGGAAGAGAAATCTATGATTTATTTAACTATTTCTAACTTTTAGCATAGAATTACATAACATTAGATCCTTGGGGATGGCTAAGTTCATATATCCTGACATCTGATACCTACTCAAGCATAAACCATCTCTCTGAGGATTAAAAAAAAATTGCTTTTAAAGAGTATTAACACAATCCATCATATGCATGTTGAAATTTTTACTGTAATAATATAATAACGTGCTGAATCAGCTCTGCTGCCTCTAACTGCTCCCAAGGAGCTTTCTTTATTCTGTTGCACAAGTTCTAATTTTGTTGACCAAGGTAACCTGGAATAGGGATAGATATCTTTTGACAGCAGGTTCTGTCTTAGGAACAAACATGGGAAATGCTAGGGGTCGAGTCTTTGTTTATTTATGAACTTTTGGCATTATCTCAAGACTATACCAGCTAAGAAGCAGTTTGTATTATTCTTGGAGACAATAAGATAATTACAGGCACCTATGTAAGAAATTGTTTAAATTTTAACACAGGTGGAAGCCATCTTTCAACTAATTATACTATCTTTTTATAAAACAAGTATTTTCCTTTTAAAATATAATCTAGCCACAATTAATTACAGCCATCTTGTTTATTCTAAAGTTAATTTTAACTCTGATATGATTTAGATGGCTACTGTTTAGATTTAGGCAAAAATATTTTTCATATAAAATATATTCAATAATTAAATAACAGAAATAAACATATATTAGGTCAAAATTCTAATGTTCAATTATTCACTTCCTGAAATGCATAACTCTGAACATTGCACTGAAAACTAAGCCCTTGGCATAGAAGCCATTGTGGGGCATTTCACATCTGGTCTGTAACACTTATTAGTCAGGTCCACGAAGGGTGCGTTCACCCACTGATACAAAGGGACTGATCGAATGAGAGCTCACCAAGGCCAGCTGGACTGGGACTGAACGAGCATGTGATCCAACTGGATTCTCTGAAGGTGGCCGACATGGGGGCTGACTGAGAAGCCATTGACAATGGCACTGGGTCTTGTTTCGTCTGCATGGACTGGCTTTTTGGGACCCTGGCCTGTTTGGATGCTCACCTTCCTGGACCTGGAGGGACGGGGGAGGAACTTGGATTTCCCACAGGGCAGGAAACCCTGACTGCTCTTGGAAAGGGTGAAGGAGGAGGAGAGGGAGTGGGGGGAGCGGGAGGGTATTGGGAGGAGGGGAGGAAGTGGAAATTCTTTAAATAAATAAATAAGGAAAAAAATATGTGTTTCACTAAAGTAACTTAAAACCTCAAATTCTGACAGGTTTAATAGCCTTCACTATCTGTTAATTATAATTATAATGATCATATATAAAAAGTAGTATCATTCTTAATATTTAACTAATCCAATTACAAATATGGCAGCAAGATCAATTTTCTTTTAGTTTAACCAAATTACTATGTCTTGCTTCCATATGAAAAAATGAAAGAGAAGTAGTAAACATGATCTTGGGGGGAAAAGGCTACAGGATTGCTTTACATTGCAGACAAAGGCAAAGAATTTTAGGACCGAGAGGAAGAAAGAATAAGAGAGATCTGGGTGGGAGAGTGGAAGAGACTTAGGGGCAGAACACAGAGGAGCATATCTGTTGAAAAAGATGCACTTAACTTTCAGTACATTGCAGTTTTTGTTAATATACATTAAAATTTGAAATTCAAGAAACAAAAATGGTGAATGATAGAACAAGGAGTGAAGAAAAAGCAGAAGCTAGATACGAAGAGGAGAAACAGAAGTTATAAAAGAGTGTGGGAGGTAGACTATAGTAGCTAGATAGTGGGTGGACTCATTAGAAACAGTATAGAAATTAAAGTTCTAAATGATAAAATATTTGTGTGTAAAAATCTGTAAATATTCATTACATTTAAAAAGAAAACAGAAATTCTTGAAGTAGTATATGAAAACAATAAGGAAGGTAGAACAATAAAAATCTGCATAAGTTTATAGATGAAAAGGCATACATTATTTTTCCTATAAAACTAAATGAATAGACCTTAAGACAAAAGAAGTTTCATCTATTATTGTGTAAAATGTATTCTTATAACATGATCTCTGTTCAACATAGCAATGCAATATATCATTTCAATGCAGTTGGTGTTCATAATGATCTCTATTCAAATATTGATAGCATCATCAAAAGACATAAAATTTAAACTCTGAGTTTAAAGCCTGCCCCTGCTATTTTCTTGTTACATTACTTAGGGAAAGTCACTTAAGCCCTATAACTATTCTCATCTGTAATGTGGGATAATTGCAGTAAGTACTTTATAGAGCTCCTGAGAAGATTAATTCCTTATATGCACAGGTCCCTAACATACATTGTATTGTATCAATTCTGTTATCATCATTACTTTTCACTTTTCTGTACAAGACACAAAATTAGACACATTAAATGATGAAATAAAAAAGCTATCTATTTTATGTTCAATACTTTCAGATGAAAAATACTACTTAGATGAAAATAAATCTGATTTTATTTTAAAGATAAAACAGATACTAAATGATAATACAAGTCAAAACGAAGGCCAAATTAGTGTGTGGGCCATTTAGTACATGAGTAAATACTGTGTTGCCTCTCCACTGCTAACATAATAAATAGCAAATGACAAAAACTGGGCTTAAAATAAGATTGATGCATTTTACCTTATGGTTCTGGAAAACAAAATGCAAAATAAGTACTCAAACGTTGTGGTGTTAAAATCAAGATGACAATATTCTTCTGGGGATTCTGGGGAAAAAATCTATTCTCTTGCCTCTTCTAGCTCATATTCTTTGACTTGTAGATGTATTCCCTATCTTCAATAAGAGATAACATCCATCACAAGCCTGTCTTCTCTCTTGAAGCAAAATATTTTTGGTTCTGGTCCAAATATTATGTGTAACTGCATTTAGAACCTACTGAGGTAATCTAGGCCAGCCTTTCCTTCTCAAAAACTTTAACCTTGACTGCAAAGCCATTTTAACAATATAAGGTATCATTTAGTTTCTAGGAAATAGGACATTGTTAGCGCTAGATCACACCATGATAGCAAGATAAGAACAGAAAGAGAGGAGTAGACACTAGAATGTTTTACAGAATTTAATTTTCAGTATTTATAAATGTTTGGTCGAGGAGAAAGAAACTTGAAGCAGACACAAATATACAACATCAAATTCCATTGTTATTTTAGGTGTTTTAAATGTCTATCTACGTTTGAAAGGGCAGACAACAATAGAGAATCCTCTATGGTCTTCAAGTGGGAATAAAGGACAACGGTGGAATGAGGCTCATGTTAATATATATCCAATTACTTCATTTCAGGTAAGAAACACCTTTGTTCATTGATTGCTATGTAATTGCATGCAACATTAAACACATATCTTGAAGAAGCAGCAAATAAGACGGTAATACTCAGAAATTCTAGATAAGACATATAAAAATCACATTATTTTAGTTTCTCTTCAGTTTAAAAAACTATTTTATGAAGATAAGTGTATCTTTATTATGTTCCATGAAATACCATATAGAAAAACAATCTATCAAAACTCAAGGTATTGTGTGGCACAGTATATATGCCTTTAGTCCCAGCATTTGGGAGGCAGAGGCAGTAGATCTCTGAGTTTGAGGCTAGCCTGGTCGGCAAAACATGCTCTAGTACAACCAGCCCTACACAGAGAAACCCTGATCCAGAAACAAAACAAAATAACTCAAAGTATCAGTAAAGTCATCTATTTTCATAGAATCACTTGCATGTATTTTGTGTATTTTGTTCTCTATAGAAAGTAATATAGATTTTCACACAAATAAAATTGAGTATCAATATACCAATTTGTTGAATAATTCTTGATCCAATTTTAAATGAATCTGTCACCTCAATCAGAATCATAACTTAAACAAATTATTTTTCTTTCTGTTTGAAGTTAGACTTCAGTTGAATACCAAAAAATCATCTACAAAGACATCCAAAAATTTAATGACTTGAGGTTTTTAAGTGAAATAAGAAACCTTAAAAATAACTGTAAAGGATGACATACCTACAAGCTATTTTAATAACGTTGGCAGCATAGATTTGTGATTTAAGTAACATTAACAACATATATATTTATACCCACCTATATTTTAGTACATTTCTAGCTAACATATACCAAAATGTTTTTATTTCTATAAAATGATAAAATATATTTAAAATCTCTTTACATTTAATATAGTCTATAGTTTGACCCTTATTTTGACTCAAGTGCACTTAATGATATCATGCACACATGACATGTCATACATTTAAGGGTACAGAGAATCAAACTGATCCAATTATACAATATTTTCCTCGATAGAATCTCTTTTCTCAGAATTTGTAAAATTATGACTCTTTGAGAGGTTAATCTTCTAAACCTAAGCAAGTTGATAAAATGACTGTATTTCTTCACAAGAGCAGAGTATAAGGAATTAAGTAAAACTACTTGGAATCATATACCTACAAATGCAGCAGAATCATTTTACATCTATGAAAGATAATACAATGAAAAAAATGGAATAAACTTAACCTGGGAAAACAGGATTCAGTGTTCAACTAATATTAAAGTGTGTGTGTGTGTGTGTGTGTGTGTGTGTGTGTGTGTGTCTGGACACTGAAGATTATTTTTCTAAAATATTGATATTCTCTACATATTTTCTTCCTACACGGGCTGCCTGGTCAACACAATGATTAAATTAAATACATATACAAGAAGAATTTAAGTTATGATAATATTATAATCAAGTCAATCCTTTACTGACATTATATCAATTTACTAAACATCTATCTAGTACCTCCAGGAAAGTCCTTTACTTTTCTAGATATTAGTTGAAAAATATGTGAGCTCCAATTTTCTGTCTGTCACACTGGAAGGCATAAGATTTGATAAAATTCTTGTAAAAGATGCTGGAAGCTACCTGGTACACAGGAAGGAGAGAGACGTCAGGATATACTTATCTTTTCATGACTGGAATTTTGGAAGCAGGCATTACTGACTAAGAATATTTGGCTTACAAAGTGTTGAATAATGCTTGAGCTACGGATTGGTTTATATTGTAAAAACAGAGAAGAAAAGAGATCAGATTCAGGAACATATATGATTACTTCTGACTTAAACAAGTTACTAAAAATGCCTGGTTGGGAGGGGGATTTTAAAGATATGGAGAAGTTGTTGGAATTACCCTACCTATCTGAAGTTTTGAAGAGACAGGTATGGATGTGTCATCGATTATATCTCTTACTGAAAACTGCCTGAAGCTGGGCAGTGGTGGTGCATGCCTTGAATCCCAGCACTTGAGAGGTAGAGGCAGGCAGATCTCATTGAGTTCGAGACCAACCTGGTCTGCAAAGCAAGTCCCCGGACAGCCAGGATTGTTACACAGAGAAACCCTGTTCAAAAATCATAACAAACAAACAAACAAAAATCTGCCTGAATAATTGTTATTAGCAAGGAAAGTTTTACATATTGAAATGATCAAGTCAAGTATGTAAAACCATACAAAATCAATCACTAAGAACTGTGACAGACATACTCATCCTAAGTAGTATCTTAGAGAAATTCAAATAGTCATAGAACTAAAAAAAGAGAGACAAACTCAAGTTATAAAACAAATAAATTACTTGTAGAATGTCCTTTCTTGTAAGATAATTTGTAAAATTCTATTTTCATGAGAAATCTAATTTCTAAATCTTACCAAATAAAGTAAATATTTTTGTAATTAATATAACATAATTGGCAAGCTTAGGTTTTAGTTAAGTCACAGCTATACAAGTTATATTTTATACAGGATACAGTGTCCACTAGAGAATTTTTTTTTTAAAGTTTATTAAATTATGAAAGTTTTCATTTCCGCCCCTCCTCCCAACACCCTCCCACTCCCCCTTCCCCCTCCTCCTCCCTCTTCATCCCTAAGAGCAGTCAGGGCTTCCAGCCCTGTGGGAAGTTCAAATTCCTCCCCACTCCTTCCAGGTCCCTGAAGGTGAGTATCCGAACAGACTGGATCCCAAAAATCCAGCATATGCAGAGGAAACAAGTCCCAGTGTCATTGTCAGTGGCTTTTCAGAAAGGCTCCGGACCAGCCACATTCAGCAATCCGGCCACATTCAGAAAATCTGGTTGGATCACATGCTCGTTCAGTCCCAGTCCAACTGGCCTTGGTGAACTCTCATTAGATCAGTCCCCTTGTATCAGTGGGTGATCGCACCCCTCGCGGTCCTGAGTTTTTTTCATGTTCTTCCTTTTTCTGCCCCTCATTTGGACCATGGGGGGCTCAGTCCGGTGCTCCAATGTGAGTCTCCATCTGTATCGCCATCCATCGTCAGATGAAGGATCTATGGTGATAAGCAAAATCTTCATCGGTATGGTTATAGGCCAAGGCCGGTTCAGGCACCTTCTCCTCTGTCTAGAGAACAGTCTGGGGATCTCTCCTTGGACCTGGCATCCCATTTATAATCAAGTCTCCTGTAAACCCTAAAATGACTCCCTTAGTTGAGATATATTCTTCCCTGATCTCATATCCATCCTTCCTCCCTCCCCCATCCCAGTCCACCTAGCTTTCCCCATTCCTCCACTACTCCCTTCTCTCTAACCCTCTCCCCTTCCAACAACCCTCCCACCCCCCCATGCACCCGAGGTTACCTGGGACTCTTGTCTATTTCCAATCTCCAGGCAGGTAGCTACATGATTTTCAACAGGTTCACCTTCTTATTTAGCTTCTCTAGGATCACGAATAATAGGCTCAAAGACCTTTAATTATGGTTAGAATCCACATATGAGTGAATACATACCATATTCCTCTTTTTGGGTCTGGCTTACCTCACTCAGTAAGGCGTTTTCTATTTCCATCCATTTGCATGCAAAATTCAAGATGTCATTGTTTTTTACTGCTGAGTAGAACTCTAATGTGTATATGTTCCACACCTTTATTAACCATTCTTCTATTGAGGGGCACCTTTTCGATGTTCAGTTTCCTTTAATGATTTCTATCTCTATGAAAGGGTGGGTACAGGTTTGTTTGTCTTGATTGATGGCTTTGCCTATACGCTGTAAAGTCCCTTTCCAAGGAAAATACTCTTCAACCAGGGTCTGGATCCAGGGTCCAGTATCCAGTATAAATGTCTATGACTCACAGTCCACCTGCCAATTTAGACCCACTCAGCAGAAAGGCAGGCTCGGCCTGGAAAGACCCAAATGCCAGAAATGGAGCTGTTGTTGTTGGTTCTGAAGAGAAGGAATCTAGCTAAGGCATTCTTCCTCATTTTTCCCAATCCCTGGAACATTCCTGTCTTGTGGTTGCAACCCATGAAAGCCGGGATTAGCTCTTCAAGGAAGTAGTCCTCAGCATACCCAGATCATATCCACGGGGATCATCCTTATCAAAATGCTCTCCAAAATATGGCACCACAGAGAGGGTGTCCTCATAGGCGTATTTCTGCTTAAACTCATTTCACATGAAGATATCCTTGAGAAGGTGAGCGAAGGGGCCGTAGCCTTGTGCTCAGTTGCTGGCGCCTACTCACATTCACCCATCTCCTTAGGAGCTGAGGCAGCTGCCTCATTTTTTCTTTCCACTCAGTTCTTGGGCCCCAACTGAATTATTTATTAGTCCACACCTGGAGGAAGGCGTGAGGATTAAGGAAGAAGTAGACAAGAGAAAACAGACTCTCGAGGGCATCCAGTGAATACTGTAATCCGCCCTAACCTTAGTACTCAAAGTTCTTATATACTCAAATCCAAAAGAAAGGAGAAGGCAAAAGACTTCTTTACCCTGATACAAAGAACAAATAAATGTAATTACCTCCTTGCGTCTTAAAATATTAAGCAACCACACCCTAGGTCAAAATATGCTTTTGTCTAGGCAAAACATTGTGTAGCCACACCTTAGGTCAAGCTTCTTGTTGTGTAACCTTGAAGGAGCAAGAATACATCTGAACTCTCTCATCTGTAGATAAGGTGGAATAGGTTCACTTCCATAGGTCCCCACACATTCTGGGGCTTTTCTTTTCTTGGGGTATAGTTTTAAGGCTGGCTCTCTGCGAACTTCTTAGCATCAGACGGGGCTATCTTCTCACACAGCTTTATTTACACCAGGAGAGTGCTGAAATGGACCTGGTTAATGCAAGTAAGAAACCAACCTTTGGTACTGGCTACTGCCTGGGGAAAAGTAGGCTTTCAGACCTGTTTAGAGAACCACAGCAGGGTGCAGACAACTTTGTTACCAACCAATGTCACTTGTTTACCACCATGAAAGCTCCTAGGTTTCAAGAAAACATCCAGCTGCCTTATCTCCTTGGATATCTGCATTTTCAG